TTATTATTCAATTTTATTTCAAATTTTAATAAATTAAAATTTTATTTGATTTGCGCTTAGGTTGCACGACAGAATGACCGTGGGCGGAACCGTTATTTGAAATTCAAAGAAGGACATCTTTCACGGAGGACAGTCTGGGAGGTGCTTCTGACGCCACAAGTCTCAAACCCAATTAGAGAAATTCTTAAAAGCTGAAATTGCTGTAGTATTTGTAAAATTAAATAAAATGGGTAAGTAGTCTCTGCCATAATAGATATCAAGCATTTTAGAATCACTAGAAAATCAATAGAAATCACATTTTTTTATTTTACAAATACTACAACAAAAACAGAACAATTACCTTCGCTGCACCACTACCAGCGGCGAGAAGCAAGCAACAGCATCGTGCATCAGGTGGCCCAAATGAGGGCGGATGAACGATAATCAGAGGCGGCGATCCATCGTGGCCTGGGACTGCTATGTCCCAAACAAATACTAAGGATACTAAGGATTGTACGGCAACACTTGGCACCGAATGAGCACTACCCAGGGCAGTGTAAGACTTTGGATGTTGTGTTTATATCTCCCAACTTATGTAATGGAGCAGCTCGGCGCGGTTACGTAGAAAAAATAAAGCGCTGATACTGCCGCAGATCTACACTCCTAGTTCTACACATATCACTCGATCAGGTGTATTGCTTCAAACACGAGTATACTCATAGCGACACGACTATACTCATTACTGCATCTAGGTTTAGGAGGTTCAACGTTTATGGCTACGAAAGCCTCTAACACAGAGAAGACGGAGTGATGAAATATGATGAATCGATCTTGTTCAACATGAATCACCACTCCGCATGCACTAGCTCCACATCATGACTTAACACAACACTCAGCAATGAGGCGTCACTTCTCAGAGGGACAACGCTCTTATCTCGAAAAATATGTAATACACAGAGTGAGGAAATAAGATGAATCAATAACTTGTTCAACATAAATCACCAATCCGCACTTCACATCAAAATTTAGCACTCGTTAGTAGTGCTTGAAGTAGCAATGACCGCGTCACTTTTCAGAGATTCAACGCTCATATCTAGAAAAATATGTAATATGTACAGATGGAGTGATGTAATGAAATGAGATGAATCAATCACTTATTCAATATAAGTCCCAATTCCGCAATCTATAAATAAGTTTGCACTCGTGCTCAAAATGACAACGGCGTATCATCCAAGTATCAGAAGTTCAACGGATATAATTCAAAAATATTCAATTCAAGACGCACCAAGAGTACGGGAGTACGAAGTACTGAAAAATCAGCTAAATTATAAATAAACTTTTGCGTCACATTAATGAAAAATTTTGGCTTTGGTTTTGTCGTTACTGCGGTGGCGGTTGTCAGTCAGACGTTCAATTCATGCGCTATTTAGAGGCTGTTTTTAGTCGAACTATGAATGAGTTCAACAGCGGACGAATTATATAAGCAGAATATCCTTCTCAGTCATCATCAGGAAAATTTTATTTGTAAATGTAATTACTCTATTTTTGCTAAATATTATTTTCGATTAGTGCAAATAATGTTTAAAGTACGAATACCGACCAAAGCCTAATTCTAATTTTCCATATAATTTGTGAATTGGCAACTCATTTTTGAATAATTTTTCTCGTAATAATATTAGTTGATTAAGAATTAAGCGTTTAAAGTATATTATTAAAAACACAAGTGAATGTATGTATATGCACAAAAATTCGAAATTGCCAATTTACTTCACTAATTTCTTCCTCTTTCCCCAAGTTAATCTAGAACAATTTCATATTAATGACGAAGAGATTTGTAAACTTTAATCACGCCGTCGTCGCTATCAGTGAAATGTACTTTAGGTGCATATCGTCCCGTGCGAACAATTCCGAGGTTATTAGGGTGGCATGGAAAACAACGTTTTGAGAATTGGCCTCAAGATTTTTATTTTTCATCTGCGCACATGGCAAACGAATCTTTGTCAGGGATTTTCCAATCACACAATTTCTAGAGTTGCTACAAAGCCTTCATACATAAACTTAGACGTATATGATTCAGCATAATTTCACTTTAGTGCTAAAATTTTAAAATGATTATTGAGTTGCTTATTCCTCAATACATATTCCAGTATTCAAATATGACATTTTAAGAAACGTGTGACCAAAGTCAATTGATGTTAAAGCTAAATTCCAGCATCATACGTAACGGCATTATAGAAGATATGCTCCCAACAACCTATCTGACTCGAAATTACGCTCTCAACAGCGTCCTATACACAACAGCATAACGCTGAGCACAATTCGCCTCTTCCCTAAGCCTACGTAGACCACACATCACCCAGCACTGGGTTTGACATTCCGTTGTCACCATATCAGCTGTCAACAGCTCGCCCTCGGCCCCTCGCAGTCATGATCACTCCCGTCCTAAACACAACAGCGCTTGATCCCACATTCCGGACCCCTGAATCTTAAGTGTAAAATTTGTGTTAATTATTAGTTATTTAAATTCCAAAAGAAATTATTATGGTGTTATGAAAACCGTGTATTTAGATTCATCCTATCGCTACAAATGTTAAGTTTTTCATGAGCGCAGGATTTTAATTGAAAACATCAAAGACTATAAAGACACTCTTATATAGGAATACAACTATGTTAGGAAAAACTAAATTTACCGTTGGGACAACTATGTTAGGAAAAATTAAATTTACCGTTGGGCGGCCTATATTAATTTAATTTGAATGGATAATAGTTCTCGCTAACATAAATATTCGTTCCTATATAATATTTATTATTTCGTTTTCATGAACCTCTTAATTGAGCATCTTCACCTTTTCATAATTTTTTTCGATCTAAATCTCAATTTTGAGTAGTATCGTATATGATTTTGTACTTATGTCGATTCGAATTTTAGTGCACGTGCAATGCATCATGCATCTTGATAATAAATGTTGAGACATTCGAAACATTATTAACATATTAAAAACGTCTTTCGGTAACTTGATTTTCGATCTACCAACGCCAACGAAAAATATTTTTGTTCGATATATTGATACAAACTAATAAGAAATTTTAATACAAAACTAATTTTCTGGACTTCACTTAAACCAAGTTACCGTCGAGGTCTCAATTTATGTCGCCATCCTCCAAGAATCGATGTATCATTATTACAAAATATTAGAATGAACTTTATAGTCTAATAAAACATCGTTTTTATTACTTCTTTATCTGTGGAAACTTACAACCAATATTATCTCTGATCAATATTATATCGGTTTCACTACAAGCGCGCAAGTTAGGAGAAGTAGAAAAACGATGGCGGCTTAATTATGCGTCATTGACGGTAGAACGATTAATAGGCCATGAAGTGTCGAAAATAGGTGTTGAATATATTTTTTTTCCAAGTTTCTCCTTCACTTTAACTTAAAACAATGTTGGTATAGTCCAAAGCAATATTTTATTTTAATTCTCCTATTTGCTCGATCGTGTTTGCCACAGCCGAATAATTGAACCAACAACATCTAAGAACATTGATCTAAAAAAGTCTGAGTAAATACCTAACTGCAATTCAGCAAATACATATCTGTCGTGCGTTACATTCATGCCCTCAGCTGCTAGTGATCACGCAGCCTATATATGTTGCCGATATCATTCTAATGTTTGCATATGTTCACATAATAAAGTGTGTGTTAATCACAGTTTGTAAAGCGAGTATTTTAAACGTGTGTCTATAGGTCCAACGCGAGGCCATGAAAGGTATTGACTGGCGAATGTCACAATCTACGCAAAAAAAGACGAGAATACAAGAAAAGTAAATTATCGCTTGTTATTGAACGGCCGCGATTATTAATTTTATTGGCTGGTTTGAGAATGTATAAAAATTGAACGTTACTCGTTAATAAAAGGACTGGGGATGATCAAATATTCCCGTATCCTTTATTGATAGCTGGTTTCTGAGGTATTTATTTTCAAAAATGACGTGATGGTTTCAGATCCGTTGGATTATTTGACAAAAACAATTTTAAATTGCGTGTTGAGACGATACGCACTCCAAATTTTCCATAAATTAGCTTATCGACAGTTTTTCTGTTCCACTTAAGTCTGTTCATCATTCTGTCAAGTCAGGTTATATAAATTTTACACCTCATTCCTTTACGTTGCTTCGTCACCACGAGCAAATTTATTAGAACCGACGATTTCGCTGCTTTATCAAATTCATAGGTAAAATGAGCGAATGTTCGAGGTATTTTTTCTCTTAAATTCGCATACAATATTCGGTATAAGCAATCAAATAATATCACCGCACGTATACCCAAGCATAGAATTACCTTCGGAATGTCAAACTCGTGCTATGAGGTGCAAAAGAATCAGATATGCTTCGTGTCGTCGATCAGCTTATAGAATATTCAATGAGTGAGAGGTCGTGACTGAAAGGCCGCAGTCACTCAACCTCATTTTCTAGATATTTTTCAAGGTGGCCAGTCAAAAAATATCAATTAATAACAAATTTTGATTAAGAACAATTACACTATATTTAGTTGTAATTAATTAATGTAAGTAACTAATTTATTTAACAAAACATGAGAGAGTGTCAGCCATTTCATTGGACATGTGGATATAAAATATCACAACAGTGAATATTATGAGTGACATTGAGGTCAAAAATTCCCATAATTCTAAACGAGTACCTTAACAAAGTATTAAACACAATATAATTTGATATATTACTATCCGTTTTTGTTTCGCAACTGCAGCACTACACTAATATTTTTGCGGGATGATCAGCTATTGCATGTTCGCCACTGAAATGAGCTCTCATTCTAGATTTGCCAATGACCATGAAACCGGACCCAAGTCAATCATTTCGTTCATTTATATATGACTATATGATCCCAGACCCAAGACAATCACCTCGTTCATTTATATATGACTATATGATCCCAGACCCAATTAAGTCAATCATTTCGTTCATTTATATATGACTATATGATTCCAGACCCAAGACAATGCTTGCGGCGCTCGGGGCGCTGCTGTGCGTCTGCTGCAGCATCGAGGAGGGCTCAGCTTATACGTTCAGGACTTTCATGGGCGCGGAAATTGCCGCAACTGCGATCTCGAGCAGCGCGGTCGTGCAGCGTCCGTGTGAGTTTAATTAGATGATATTTATAAATAGCATGAAAAAGTATTCGCTTTGTTTTCTTATTTGTTTTGTTTTAGTACTCGTCTTGCTTTATAGAGAAAAACATTAGCCTATGATAAATTGTGAGATCCAAAAAGTTGAAACTTCTTAAAATACATTCCCATTGACCGTTAACTGATGAAAAGTGTGTAGTCAAAATTGATGACAGTTGTTGAACTTGGGAAAGCACGGCGTGTTTAAGACACGCATTGGAACATCAAATAGCATTTAATTTTCATAGAAAACGCTGAAATTATACGTAATTTTGAAACATATGGCAACTTCTCATGAACAAAAGTTGGAGGGAAGAATAATTGTGCAAAAGTATTTACCTTTCCAGGCGAGTGTCGCGCGCTGTGCCGGGACGCATGCGTCGCGGTGGCCATCAGGCGTCAGCCACCACGCCACTTCCACTGCTCCTTCACTGACGAAACCGTCGCTGACGCCACCACCAATCTTACGGTTCCTGCTCCCGATAGCAAGGTTTTCTACAAACGTAAATATAGTTTCATAAAAATATATTCAAAAATTCTAAACTCGAGCATGTCAGTTGTAACTTTAACAAATTTTCTTTTAGCTTCATGTTATTCACTTTGGACATGAACATAACTTTAGGTTAAATTTGCCAGTCCGACTAATTTACACAATCCCCGCTCGTTTGAATATTGTCTCGTGATGTGTGTTGAGCAATGGAAAGCAAAACTGCACTCAAGTTCTAAAATTAAATCAATCTTTACATAAACTTAATTATTAAATAATAAATCACACATTTGGCAAAACAGTTATATTAATATTTTACGCGCCCATTCATTTTCTGAACTTAGTAGCCTTAGTACCTCTTAGTATTTGTTTGGGACATAGCAGTCTCAGGCCACGATGGATCTTCGCCTCTGATTATCGTTCATCCGCCCTCATTTGGGCCACTTGATGCACGATGCACTTGATGCAACTAATTAACTAAGTTTTACACAACCTAGAGCGTTCAGCATTATAATATCAAATTTTCTCCATTTCTAGTTTCTCTATCCATCTTTTAGTACAAATCGTCAGATTTTTAGATCAAACAATAAAAGATTCCTCTTTTATTTGTTTAAACTCATGATTACTGACAGATTTTACTTATGTATATTTTCAGCTGTAAATTGGCCGAAAACTAATTTCAACTCAATTCATATACTGGTTCTGGCACACATGCATAAAAATGAAAACTAGGTAGTAATTTTCAACACAATTTATATTTGGGAACGAGGCCTGGTATGCCTGCCTGGCTTCACGCTTGTGGACAACGTGGGCTGCATTTACGTCTCCACCGCCGCACTGAACTTCACCGCCGCCGCCGCGTCCTGTCCCTCCGACTCCCAACTCTTCACCGCCAACTTCCTCATCGACTTCAACGCCATGCGGAACTACCTTAAGAAAACATTTGTTGGTGAGTTATGATAGGTTGTGAGCACGTAGATTAGGGTCCTTTTCCTAGCGAAAATTTCCGGAGGGATCGTAATTGAATACCTGATTTCGCCTGCTGACAGATTTTTCATAAGGTTTATTTCATTCATTAAATTATTATGAATATTTGATATTAGCGAACGATTTTATCCCTCCAATTCGTTTTGAATTGAAATGATACGATCTAAATATAAAAAGAAGAATTTAATTGTTTTGCTGTATTTTTAACTAAGCATTCTTGCGAAATTTCCGCGAGCAAACCTTTTTTATATATTCTAAGCATGTGCACCCATTGTGCGAAATTTTATTTATAAAATTTTGTAATACTCGGAGAGCACGGATGAACACTCACAAATTAATGTACGTTATGCCTAATCACCTTTCGACCATACAAGGGCAGTGCCTTACCAATGATGTCTTTTGCACTCGTACTAAAAAATAGGTCTCAATCAATACTGACGCAAATGTCATTGGGTAGATAGTTGAGTCAAATTTCGATTCTTAGTTCAATGATAGTAATTTTTTACAGTCCCACCGAATAAATTTTGGATTGGCTTGACTCGACTTGGGAACAGCACAACTTGGAAATGGTTCGGAGGCGGAACCATCGAAGCCACTCACCCATCGCCCTACTGGAACCCGAGAGATCCAAATGAAAATACCGACTGCGCCATGCTATATTTCCGTCCCTCTACTGGATTCTTCTACGATGTGGCCGATACGTCGTGTGCAGGTCAAATGCAGTTTTTGTGTAAGCAAAACTGAGGACAGTAGCTTGATTGAGTGAAGCAGCCATTTCTGCCGTTTGTGAATCTCTAATAGGGTACATATATTTTGTCGCGACTTGAATTTACAAACAGAGCGGGTTTCGAAGACAGGCAAGAAAGTTTGAATTGGAGCGTGTCGGTACATGTCTTTCTGGTTTTGTCAGTCCTTGCGAAAAATATATTAATATGTTAATGCTGTTACTGCAACCAATCTCCAACGCGGGAAATGAAATTGATGACTTATTGTGACATTAATCAGATAACTCTTTGTATTTTAATAGTTAATCAGCATTTTACTAAATAAATAGAATTTATTTGCAAATTATAGGATGCCATTTCGGGAGTGTTTGAAGATTTATGTCTCGGCAAAGGTCGGAATTCAACATTTGTATTTATAACTCATTGCCAAAATGTATCTGGCACAACACCAACTACTTGAAACGGACCGTGGTGGCTCAAGAAAAAGCAAAGCAAAATACTTGCTTCGTGAGGTTTTTTTCTTCCCAATTCTAGTAATTATCAGGCACTTTTTGCTTATTTTGCAGTGAATATCTCCGATACATGAGTAGATAATTAATAAATTCTGGAAATTTCAGAATATTGAATTTTGAAAATCGACCTTATATTTATGATGTCTCATTATAACATCAGTCGAAGTTTTCTTATACAGAGCGATATCATGAAGAATTTAGTTTCATCTCGCTACTATCTTACCGTTATCTCCCAATTACTCCCGTGTTTATAATTTAGTTGGAGCATATAGATTTGTTTTTGTGTGTTTTATGATTGCGATAACCCATTTCACAGGTATCAAAGTAATTCGGTTTAGGAATAATTTGTCCTATGATTGGAAATGATCCTTGGGTGAGCAAAAAGTGCATAACATATAGGCCGTTGCTTATGACGAGCTCATTGGCAATTTTATGGAGTATAAACTTAATCCAACATCATTTAGTCGGATTTTATTGATTAATTAAATCAACATTTCGCTGTAAATTCAAATTATTTTCGTCTGTCTTATGCTTATTCATGTTATATGTATCGCAAGGAATTCCTTATTTTGATAATAAGCTATAATATTGATAGTTATTATAATCAAGGAATCACAATTAAAATGTTTATACAATTCAGTGTAGTAGGATCTTGACAATTTCCGTAGAAAAACGAGCGTTCGGCATCATACGAAAAATATCGTATTAAAATTATACACGCTCTAAATATAAAGACGTTAATGTTGCTTAGCATTATTACGTTATATATACGTAATATCTATATACGTTAGTGTTGCATAGCAGTATTTTTATTTAGATTAGCACTAAGTATTGTTCGTCTTAAAATATTAATTCTATATGCACAATTTTGACAGGAGTCCGTTTCCAGACATTTTGATAATCACATGTTTCAATTAATCGCACCTTTCTATGAGTGAGGAATTGCCTCACAACACAAATGCAAAGCCGGATTTTCTCAAGTATTTCACAGTGCGATCAGGCGAAGTATACACGAAATATTTATCAACTGCTTGGAACACTTGAGACTTGCCCGATGCATTGGAATGAACAGACCAATTATGTGTGCAGACATGACATGTCGATCAGTGTGCAGACATGACATATGTCGATCAGTGTGCAGACATGACATGTCGATCAGTGTGCAGACATGACATGTCGATCAGCGTGCAGACATGACATGTCGATCAGTGTGCAGACATGACATATGTCGATCGTTGAGGTGACCTTGCACGTCGATTACCGCACAGGCAAGTACCAAAGTTTCAGTCATGGTTCGTGTCTTGAATACTTTGCCAGCGAACCCATTTATAATGTAAACTAATATATCATTATACCTCCCAATATTATTATAAATACTGCAGACATAGCTTTACCATGTTATTTGTTGGGAGAATAGCAAAGATAAATTTCATCGACTTCTTATTCCTGTATATCAGTTAATTATTTATTTCATATATTCTTTTATTATTTATTCATTAATAAATTGAATTTCAACGTCAATTTTTTTTACTTTTCAATTTGCTGCTGGACACAAGGTTCACATTTCAAACATATAGGTTCATTACCTACATAAAAATGTCAAAAAATAATAAGACATTGGCAGAAAAGCTATTATTGTATTTCAAAGACCATGTTGCTTTGTAAACCATGCAAGACGTTTCGACGACTATGGCAAGTGGGGATAAATCAAGTTTCAATTCAAAGAATGTTTATTCAACGGACGAATGAAGCTATAGTGAAAATGACGGTCGGCGAGGACAACGTGTCAAGCCTGTCGGTGGCGCTCCCCCCGACCCTCCGCCACCCGCGGTTCCGAAAAGGAGGATGAAGCGCAACTGTCAAATAATAAAATAATGAGAGACGCAAAACAACTTGAATTGGTAAGAATTTTGAACCCGAATATTAAACCTTGATTAAATCAGAAAATATACATAAGTAATGACAAGTACACGAGGTAATGGAAACCGTTCAATATCTTGGGGAGAGAAATATTTTCTCGAGGTAATGATACTAGGTAATAAGCTCAGTGCTACATTGCTAGCTGGTAAGGTAAGGCTTTAAAGTTAGGTAAGAAAGAGCACAAGCACTGGAGCTAGTCGGTAAAACGTTAAGGTAACAATTAAGGTAATGGCTACTTGGGTAAATGATAGTTTAGGTAATAGTTCAATAGTACGAGCTAGGCAATAGTACGTATAAGGTAATTGTAAGATTTAGGTAACGACAAGAATTAGGTAACATTAAGAATCAGGTAATAATACGAAATTGATAATAGTCATTTGGGAATTTGGAGTATGTTCATTCTTCAAATCCTCCGGTAAAATGTAGGTTCTTAAGGAGCAAGTGGAGGTGTTGGTGCCGGATTAGACTCTAAGAGTAACAAGGTAATGCGCGACTATCACCTGCCACCACCTCAGACGTCCATCGGATCTTTGCCGTGCGGTCATTGCTGTCGCGTCACACTTCCACCGCCGTTAGTCCGAACGATAGATGTCAAAGACGGTAGCGCCGAAGGTAGCAACGTAGAAGGCCTCCGTCATCCCGCCGCCAGTCACTCCACCGAACTCCCTATCTCTTCATAGGGACTGGCCAAGATGTTTAGTGGCAAAGGAGTCGAACGTGACAAATCGGAAATGACTGCATGGAGGCACTTGTTGACCTCAGCATCTGTTGCTAGAGACTGATTGTTTAGACCAGTGGTTCCCAAACTTTTTCAGGCTGGCGCCCCCTTTGGCTCCCTATTGAATTTCTAGCGCCCCCCACAGACACATATAAAAAATGCGCCTCTTTCTTGAAATTTAGTACTCTGCAATTTTAAAAGATAGAGGTTAAACACAAATGTGTATTTCACAAATAGAACTCATTGAGTGAACCAATTTGTTTTTCAGCTGTTTTAACTGTTTCAGCACTAGAAACCTAGGACGTCTCGGGCAAATTTGCGGCCGGACTCGTGGCCGGTCTCAATACCAATATCCAAATTCAATTATTTATCAAGTAATATCTCCCAAACTAATGAACGCAGCTCAATGAAAATTGGAATACGTATTCATTAGGACCTAATGGTGATGTTTAGCACGTGAAAATTTTTTAAATTTCGCCTTCATTCGTGAGTTATATTGCGATACAGGCCAAAGTTCGAAATGATCAAAGAATTTCTTCCCAACTCCTGAACAGATTTTAACGAAATTTTGAATATGCATTCCAAACCACCAAGCGGTGATTTTTTAGCTTATAATTTTTTTTATTTCACCTTCGTTTGCAATTTTTTTCATTTCGCCGTCAATCTTGATTTCACACTTCCATATATTCGGCCCGTATCGACGGGAAGTTTGTGGCTCAAATTCGCGGCGATCAAGAAATTTCTTCTAAACTACTGAACAGATTTCAACGAAACTTTGTATACCCAACCTCCCAACGGTGATGTTTAGCTCGTGACAATTTTTCTATTTTGCTTTCGTTCGCGAATTATTCAAATATAGGAGAAACGACCAGCTTTTCTACCGCCCGGTTTAACCATGCAAGAGCCCTTTACGTATAGCCGTATAACTCGCAAACGAAGGCAAAATCGAAAAAATTGAAACGAGCTATACATCACCGTTGCTGAAGTTAGGTACTAAATTTCGTTCAAATATGTTCAGCAGTTTGGAAGAAATTTCTTGATTACTGCGAATTTAAGCACGTATTGCTGTTTAAAATCGCGAATGAAATTGAAATGAAGAAGAATATATAACTCAGTATTCACTGCAGTGAGTGACAGAGAGCGCATTTTCTCGTCGACGAAAACATGAAGTCACGGACAGACAGACGGGCGGACAGACGGACAAGACGAGCACAATAGCGCCGCTTTTTCTATAAATGCGAAAATACGCTAAAAACTAGCGAACGAAGGCACAATCGAAAAAATTTTTCCGAGCCAAACATTACCGTCCGGTAGTTAGGACTTTAAATTCAAAATTTCATTCGAATCCGTTCGGTAGTTTGAAAGAAATTCCTTGATCACTGTGAATTTCGGCCCGTATTGTCATATAACTATGACAAATACAAATGAAGGCAAATTATTCAAAAAAATTTCAGGAGCTAAACATTACCGTTCGGTCCTTATGAATACGTGTACCAAGTTCCATCGAGCTTATTAGTTTGAGAGATATTCCTTGATCATTGAATTTGGAAATTGGCTACGAGTTCGGCCGTTAATTTGTCCGAGACGTAAACCCAGGAGAGGTTAAAAAACAGATCTTGGTGAAAAAACCATCGCTGGGAGTCATAATGTGCTTCACGTGTTGTGTACAAATCGTCAAAGAAACGTTCAAACTTCTGACTTCGACTTGCCGCCCCCTATCGCCCCCCAACCGCCCTCTTCTTCCTTATCGCCCCCCAAAATCTTTCCACCGCCCCTAGGGGGGCGATATCGCCCACTTTGGGAACCACTGGTTTAGACGCAGACGTATTTTCGTGACGTTGTGGCCGGGTAGATGGTTCTTTGCTCGGAATGTAAAAATGATTAGTACTGATAGTGGTAGCAGGGTTTCCGCGATTAATACATCTAACATTAATTGAAATTTATGAATCTGGCTCCAAATTCCCAACTGTATATTAATTAACGAATTTGGTTTTAAACTATATGGTGTCAACTTCAAACTTCAAGTTAAAGATAATAGGCTGTTAAGTTATAACCAATCGGACAACCGGAATATTTTGATCTTAAGAATAAAGGCACATTTTCAACAAGACGAGTTCTTATTTCGTTGGGGGAATATTTCCTCCTCTGTTCAATTTGTGACTTTGAAAATAATTATTGCCATTGATCACAAACTTAAAATAGATTTTGTAGTGGATCTTAACTTTCAAACAAACTTAGCGCAAACGTTTATGATTCCTTAAAGTCATGGGATTAAAATCCAGACGTCCACCCAGTGCATCAGTTGTTCTCAAACTAAAATCAAATTACCAATGGGAGTAAGAAATAAATTTACCGAAGCTTGTGATGGGATGATAGAATAAATAAATATGTGAGCATATGTGGAAAATATTTGTGAAAGAAAGAACATGCTTATTACACCATGCTTAACTGACGGCGCAATCATTGTGCAAACACTTGGAAACCTCTGCGATAGATGAACTTCAAGTTTATTTGCATATTTTTTCTAGATTCCAACCGAAAATTCTTCTTCCAGCTTTGTATGCAGAATTTTCTCAAACTGATAACAACCAAAAACAGTGCAAGGCCTGTAATGATGTGACTTTGTTATTTTGATGGAAAAATTTCCACCCACAATCGTGGATTTTCGTACTTCTCTGATCAATAAGGCGGAATTTGGCGTCAATCGACAATTTTTCGTGATCCTCGAAGTCTATATTCCCGTGTACAGCGCGCAGTATTGAAAAAATGTTGCTAAATATTTTTATAGAAACATAAGTTTTTTGAACAGCCTGAGCTCCTGCAAATGCGAAGAATCTATGGATTCTATTTTTATAAAAAAATGTATTCATAAAAAATTTATTCGTATAAAAAATGTATAAAGAAAATTTTCTGTGGTATCTTTTTAAATCAGAAATTTTCATAATATATGTGAGAACGACTTGGACAAAATATCTTAGCTTTTAAACAAAAAACTAAGATTAGTTTTTCGGTAATTTTGAATAGTTAAAGCTTTTCGGGTCATAGCCTCATTGCCACTTACTCTGTGCTTTATTTGGGGTGACGCGTCATACAGTTTTAACGTGTACATTTGAGGTGAAACAATAAAAAGTTATCAGAAACGATATTTAAAAGCTTTATTGCATAAAATGCTCTGACAAAACTCCCTTTGCTGTGTCACTCATGCAACCATGTGTCTTGATGTATACTTGACTGTGTGGTAGCAGAGTCCGCAGAGTTTTGAGTGAACCTGACACGAACCTCAGACCCGCTTCGCAAACTCATAATAAATTTTGAATCTGATATTAGGCCATTCCTTGAAGGTGGTTTTAAATATAAATTTAGCATAATATTATTCGTATATTGAAAAAATGATTATAAATTTCCGTTTCGAGGAAAGAATTAGCGTTTCGCAATAGAATCCCTTTAAATTTCAAGATTTTATCCGAAACAAGTAAAGTTTTTCATTCAAAGATAATCGTGATTTAGTTCCATTGTCTATATTAGGAATAGGAACGTTTAAATTCCTATTCGAATTTCGACTCAATTCGTGCTAGACGTCATTGCTACTTACGCAAGTAGAAGAAATAAACGTTATCTTTAAATCAATTTAATTTTATATGCGTTGTTATAGCAGAGTTATGCCCGATTCATGCTGTTCTGATTATATAGCTCGATTTTTCCAAAGTTATTCCAGGCTTATAACTAGCCAATTTTAAACTGTGTTTTTGAGGGTCCATTTTGTAGAGGATGCAACACTATACAAAAGATTTCGGAAATATACAGCTCTTTATTTCTTCACGAATGTTTTTCAGGAAATTTATTAATGGATTTACAAAATAACGCATTAAACCCACACCCAAGGATACGTTCTAAGGATGCGTTGAGAGTTAAAGTCGAGAGAATTTCCGAGCAAGCCTGAAAATTTTACGCTCAATGTCATATAGATCATTACAATATAATTTTATTTCCCGAAACGTCCTAATTAATAATTGTTTGCGAGTCTCTTTCACAAGATAATTTCTTCAACGTCATCACTCAGCGCAAGCAATCTTCGAATCTATTAACACTCTCTTTTGTCGTGGTCGTGACGAAGAATGAACTTTGTGACATACAACGAAGTGCAATTTTAACCATCAAAGGCAAAAATGATGAATCAAGATCAAATTTAAATCAACGGCCATGCAAGCGAATCACCTAACATAGTATGTATTTATAAGAACATTACACGAAATAAACGAAGATAATTTATTAATTTTAAACCCGAGAAAGCTCTTTTAGACGACCTGATCGCGGTTCGGTAAGACATCAGTGAAACTTTACGAGTATGACGATTAATATAAAACTATGCAAACAAAGCCTTTTTATTGATACTTTACATGTTAAATCCGTCAACAACTTTATCATTCAGGAAATGGAGAAACGAATAAATCAACAAGCACACATGTTCTTCTATGAACGTCGTTTAAAAAAACTATTGCACTTCTCTTCATTATATATCACATATCACACTTCTCTTCATTATATATCTCATATCACACTTCTCTTCATTATATATCACATCTGTCTCTTATACACATCTAGATGTGTATAAGAGACAGGCTGATGACTTTCTCCTCTCAGGGAGCGATTGTATAACAAATGTGCAGTTCATTCTTGGAACCAAGAGTGGACATTGCTTGCCGGAGTCGGAAGTGGTGTTTGGAACAGAAGGTTACTCGCTCTTCTCTCGGACTCCCCATGGTATCATGCTAAAGGGAGACGTGAGACAGATTATGCGAGATTTGCCCTGCTTACCGCACAGGGATTCCGTGAGTACCGCAACATCGGTTGATACTTCATTCATTGCTTTTAATAAGAAATCATGACTAGTACCGGTCAATCTCCACGCTTTAGGCTCTGATGTCGATGACGCAGAAGTAATTAAATGTGATAAAATAACTGAGTCTGAATTAGATCGTGCCGATGTGGAGATACTTGAGACCCGTTGTAATGATATCCTTAACGTCGATAAGCAAGCTTACGATGAAACTTCATTTGAGTTGAATGATAAATTGCTAAAATTTGCTCTCGATCATACAAAACGTCAATCCGATGGCCGCTTAATTATGCCTTTGCTCTGGGATCCCAGAGTTGCTGATAGATTAAATACTAATCGTAGTCTCGCGGAGAAAATTTTGTTTTCAAATTTGAAAAAATTACGTAAATCTCCAGAGAAACTTGCACTTCTGGATCAAGCAATTCGAGAACAGGCGAAGGCAGGCATTATCGAGAGAATAGACAATTTTGATCAATATCTAAGTGAGCATCCCAAATGTTATTTCCTGGCACATATGCCTGTATTTAAAATGGACCGAGAAACAACGAAGTGTAGGGTAGTATTTCTATCTAATTTGTGTGAACCCGGTCACTCCAATGTCTCGCATAATCAGGCTATCCACAGTGGCCCCAATCTCAATCAGAAAATCACTTCAGCTCTTCTCCATTTGCGATTTGAATCATTCATTTTGTGCTTTGACCTAAAAAAGGCATTCAATAACATTGCCTTGGAAGATGTGGATCAAAATAGATTGCTCTTTTTGTGGTTTGCCAATGTAGAGAGAAGCAATTTTTCATTAGTTTGTTACAAGAATGCCAGACTCCCATTTGGGCTAAGGTGTTCACCAACTCTGTTGATGCTTGCTCTTTACAAAATTCTTGTTTTAGACTCTCAGAAAGACGCGCCTAAGTTGCGCGATCTCAAAAAGCTTATTTATCAGTTGTCTTACATGGATAATTGTGCGGTTGCTTTCAATAACCTAGCTAACCTTAAGTGGGCCTACCATCAACTTGCGTCTATATTTGAACCGTACCTGCGCCCAGCTAATGGGGTGCGCCCAGCTAATGGGGTGCGCCCAGCTAATGGGGTGCGCCCAGCTAATGGGGTAAGCCCAGCTAATGGGTGCACTGAGCTAATGGGGTGCGCTGAGCTAATGGGGTGCGCTCAGCTAATGGGGTGCACTGAGCTAATGGGGTGCACCCTGCTAATGGGGTGCACTGAGCTAATGGGGTTTACGCCCCATTTATCGCAGCGCTAAAAATACGCTGTCGCCGCTGAGCTTATATGTACAACAAGTTTTAGTCGCACATATTCCTGCTGTCATTTAATATGTAATACTTCTCAGAAAAAACTGCCCGTGTACGCTAAGCATCGACTTTCTTGATTTTACTTCTTCCTCAACTATGTAAATATCACGCGTATCCATTTCTAAAAGCTATAAATAATTAGTACAACATAAAATTNTTTTTTATTACAATTGCAGAGCGTGTTGGCGCTAAATACATGGACAAACTCACAGCCTCTTGTTTTCTTGCGCGTAGTTATGATACTGAACTGTGCTGTGCAATTCGTATGATTTTTATAGTCGGGAGTGAGAACAGTTGAGTTTGGGATACAATTGCCTGCCGAGGCACGTCTTTAGACTGGAGTTTTCAGTAGTTATGTATAGGATGCGTTTGTTCACTACTTCTTCATGGTTCAAATTCCAATACGACAATCTTAATATATTTTGGAGCCTTAAGGCTAGCAAAGGATTAGTAGTATAAACAAAACTAAGATTTAGTTTCGAATAATTATAAATAATTTCAATTCGGTCGGGCTCTTTAACAGACTACGCGCAGCGTCAACGGAAAAATTTGTTGATCGATTGAAAACACAATGTCGCGAGAAAAATCCGCAAAGATTTCCGCATTTACATCAATTGACCAAGATAGCATTTTGACTGAAGCTAAACGAAACTTGATAAAATTTGATCAACAGTTACACTTTCGTGATATTTTCACTTTCTTTGAAAAGAAAGATAAAAAATTGAAAGATATTCCAACTCTTGTCCTACAGTTGAACGTTTACGTTGATAATTCTGATATGCTTCGAGTTAAAAGTAAATTCGATCGTCCTGCTCTGGAACAAACCATAAAGTTCCGTTTGCTTCTATCAAAAGATAGTAAACTTACTAACTTGATCATTAGAGAATGTCACGAAAAGTGCTCCCATGCAAGCTACTACACAGTATTAGCTGAATTGCGTAANTTAGAGAATGTCACGAGAAGTGCTCCCATGCAAGCTACTACACAGTATTAGCTGAATTGCGTAAAACCTTCTGGATCCCCCATTGCTTTTCTGTTGTAAAAAAGGTTATGAAAGACTGTTTACTCTGCCGTAGATTCAATGCTAGAACGGTTAAAATAAACCAGAACGCTTACCGTGAATCTAGGGTGAACCCAACACCAGTTCCTTTTCGTAATATATTCATGGACCATTTAGGCCCATATTATGTCAAGTTGAATGGGGTTAAAACTAAAGTATGGATCCTGTGTATTTCTTGCATGTGGAGCAGAGCCATTAATCTTAAGATTTGTAACGATTTATCAGTCACCGAATTTTTGCGTGCATTCCAGCTATATTGTTTTGAATTCGGCTTGCCACAGCATTGCGTTTCGGATCTCGGCTCCCAGCTCGTCGCAGGTTCCAATATCATTCTTGACTTTCTGAAAGATTCCGCCGTAAGGAGCTATTTAGCCGATAATGGAATCGCGAAACTTACGTACGAACAGTTTTATAAAGGCTGTAGTAAACTTGGTTCTTTGGTTGAATCGTGCGTGAAGATGACGAAGAGATTAATTTTTGGATCAATGCGCAATCTGATTTTGAACTACCGTGATTTCGAGTTTATCGTGTGCCAAACTGTACATCTTGTGAACAGGCGACCGATAGCCTACAAAGAAGCATTGTGCGATTCTTCGTCTAGTAACGTTCCGCAGCCTATTACTCCAGAGAAATTAATTAGAGGCCATGATTTGATCTCGGTACTCATAATTCCCGAACTATATAAAGCTGATGAAGACGATCCCAGTTGGGAACCTTCTTACACCCCGTCAGATTTGAGAGCGTCCGATAAAAAGCTATCCAAAGTACGTAGCAGGCTGATAGAAATTTATCAGTCGGAATTCTTAGCCAATTTGGCGATTCAAGCTACTGACAAGTCTGACCGCTATAAGCCAGTTAACCATCATACCCTGAAGCCAGGTGATGTGGTTCTGCTAAAAGAACCCTATACAAAGGCTATGCATTTCCCCATGGGTATCGTTGAGGAAGTAACTGTGAATTCTTGCGGTGAAATCACTGGCGCTAAGATTCGCAAAGGTAGTAATAGAGAGATAGTTAAGCGACATGTAACTACAATTATTCCATTGCTTTCTTTGGATCAGGAAGAATCGAGTGACGTAAAAGACGCTCAGCCTGCTGAAATTTCTTCCACGATTAAAGTGCGACGCCTCGCAGCAATTGATAGCGAGGCAAAGACTAGGCAAATACTAGCAGGCTGATAGTAGGATTAATTTGTTCTGTGTTATTATTTAATGTTGTCACTGTTTTTCGTATTAGTTCATAAGTCGTTTCATCCACTTTACCCGAGTAAAGCGGATCCCCTTCCCGGGAGTAAACAAAACTAAGATTTAGTTTTGAATAATTTTAAATAGTTTCAAATTTCCGGGTCATGGTCTCGTTACTTGCTCCGTGCCTTGTGTAGTTTGGGTGACGCCTGGGGTACTTCTAACGTTAACATTTCGACCATGCAACTTCACCTCACGCCCTCTATCAAGAATTTCAGGCAGTTCGTTGCACAACTCCGCAACATTAACTCGCAGGGTGCTGCTGTATCTCATCCTCGTTTTGTGCCACCGTCGTACACCAAGATACCCAGTGATGATGTTCAGCCCCTGCTCTTCTGTTGACCCCATGGAGTAAGGCTTGTAATTGAAGCCCTGCCTGAGCTCGGTCGGAGAAATGGACGTGAGCACCTGTGTCGTCTGCTCTACGACCAGCCTCCACGGCCTATGGTTCCTCGGTGCGGCTACCACGACCTTGACCCCAGCAACCTTCCTCTGCGGGCGTGTGGACTTGCCCCGGCACCAACTCAGCACCAGCATTCCATGCAAGGATTGTTTAGTATTTCAGGTATGTCACCCTATCTCTCTGGGCGCGGAGCAAGTGGTGACGAGATACTAAATTCTATTCCTTTCACTTACGACCTGAGTAAATAATAAATCCCGTATAAATTACTTTAATAATTTTCTGAGTTATGAATTTACATGATTTTTCTGAGAGTATCGATATATGATCTTTTTGTAAATGCTGTATATTCTACACCCAATATAGAACGTGTGGAAAGAATTTGCACTTGCTCGGCGTTTTATGAACTAAGATTCGCGAATTTTGTCTCTAATGACCTTTTACCGAATCGAGCTTTAACTTTCCACGTCCGATCTAACTTTGTGCTTTACTTGACCACCGTTTTTTTTTAATTCTTCAGAATTTACGGGTGGAACAGACACGTGAGCGAGCTGCGGCTCCGTTGCCCCTTCACCTACGTTGAAGAGGTGCCGCTACTTAATTTCATTTCACTCAGGCAGTATAGAGCCAGTTATTGAAACTGATGGCAATATCCGTCATCTTGTGGTTTTTCAGTAAATCAAAGATTGCTTCAGCCGTGGTTTCAATCATACTTTGCTTGCCTTCGAATTTATTTACCTATTGCTCGTTCATCAAAGTTTTGTTCACATTATACGAAAATTTATTCGCCAGCAACCTCCTAATAATTCATTATCTATTCCTTTATTTCACTAGATACTTTTTTCATCGTCGTTCTATAAATCATTTAGTCATAGAATAGAACACGCTCCTGTGACGCTGCCATGACACGCGAAGTTCAATTTTCATTCGATAACTCATGACCAAATTAGAGAAAAATTTCATGCTTCGTGAGGCGTAGGAAGGATTCAAAATTTACACAAGTTTCTTAGATTTCATAAACATAAATTTGTTAACGATTAAATCACAGTCACAGAAAAAGATACGAATTAATCTTAATCACGCAGGTACAACGGATAAAAATATGGCACTTTTAATACATACACGAAGGCGGCTTATTTTCGGCCTGCAGTTGGCCGCAGATATGCCGGCCAAGAGGAAGGGCTGCAGTACATTCCCGTCACTGCTTCGGCATGTCTGAGGAGTAAAAAGACGAGTTACTTTACCTTAACTAAAAATTCGATTCACCAGCACTCCACATTGAAATTTAACGCCATTTAATTTGAAATATTAACGCGTAAGGCCATTTTAGGTGGATAAAAATCTTTACGCAATTATACTTGCATTTCGCAGGTTATACTTACATTCACTGACGGCGGCCAGCATCTCCAAATTGCTGTTGATACGCTGGTCCCTTATTAACTGTTTAATCAGTGAAACATTTAAACGAGGCCCTAATATCGGGTGAAGTTCCACATACCGCCGCCTCGCGTTTATTAACCAATCGTTCACCTGGAGAGCAAGCAAACTTTAATAAATTTCTATCTGTGTAATCTCTTAAAATATTGGGAAATGTTAATGAACGATAAATAGCGTCCGATCGATGATTCTTACAAGTATTTTCACCGTGTAAAATATTTCTTTTAATTTCATCGTGTTTCTCTGAAGATTAGTGCCACAACTATATTTTGCGGGTAGGATATTTGTTAGCTTGCACTAATAAGAGTGATCTTAATTTCGGTCTCACCTGCCTCATGCTGAGCCCCGCCTCCTGCGCTAGAATACTCTTCTCCTCGGTGCTTGGATAGCGCGCGAAGTTCTCCGCAAACCAAATTTTCATGATTAACTTTGCTTCTGGACTCAGCGAGCGTCCAGTCTTAGCAGGGGCGACGTCCATTTTGCCTGCAACTAACACAAGTGCCGGTTAGTATAGTTTCAATTTTTCTGTCTGGACATATACGTCCTTGCCCTCAATCATGCCAAGACAGGGCGGAACGTCAGCAGCAAACTTATTGAAGGAATATGCTTCCTCTCAAACACTAAATTTTGCTGACATTAATTAATTTACTAGTCTCTCGATAAATGATAAAATAGCCTTAACTTTGCCATATTATGACGCTATTTTGGAAAATACAAAACAAGATCTTTCTGCTTCTTCTCAGAAACAAACAAATTTGCTTAAGTTGTACAGAACATTGGGATAAAATTCATGGTAAATATAAGCTAAGAATATTGAGACTACCTCGGATTGAAACAATGTATTTTTGCATAAGTATCTTGAAGAAATGAATGATAATTTTACTATTTTTATATCACCATATGTAGTAACAAAATACATTATGATTGAAAAAAGCCAAATTTTTAAATATGTCCGTGACCTGCATTTGTGTCACTGCACCGTGACCTGCATTTGTGTCACTGCGCCGTGACCTGCATTTGTGTCACTGCGCGTGTCACACCCGTAATCTTGCTTGTTTTAGCGCATATTCTCATTTATGGAAAAATGCCCTGTTGTGCTCGTCATGTCCGTCCGTGACTTAACGTTTTCGTCGACGAGAAAATGCGCTCTCTGTCACTCACTGCAGTGAGTACTGAGTTATATTTTTGAAGGATGCGACATGCGAAGGACAATTTTGTCCATCATTAACATGGAAAATGTCTTTCAAATGGAATAACCTAGAATCTTACTTCTTTATCTAGAAAATCTTCCTAAAATAACATAAATTTTGCCCGTTTTTCCACCAGAATGTCCGCCTGCGGAGGACAAGATGGAACGATTTCCTTGTCCATCGCCGGACCACATGGGCCGCTACCGCTGCATTGATGACCACCTCCTCTGCGATGGCTTCATCGACTGTCCTGAGGGCGAAGATGAGGACAGGGAGCAGTGCATGTTCTACAAGACGGTGAGAACATGTTCTATTTGACGTGCATGTTCTACAAGACGGTGAGAACATGTTCTATTTGACGTGCATGTTCTACAAGACGGTGAGAACATGTTCTATTTGACGTGCATGTTCTATAAGACGGTGAGAACATGTTCTATTTGACGTGCATGTTCTACAAGACGGTGAGAACATGTTCTATTTGACGTGCATGTTCTACAAGACGGTGAGAACATGTTCTATTTGACGTGCATGTTCTACAAGACGGTGAGAACATGTTCTATTTGACGTGCATGTTCTACAAGACGGTGAGAACATGTTCTATTTGACGTGCATGTTCTACAAGACGGTGAGAACATGTTCTATTTGACGTGCATGTTCTACAAGACGGTGAGAACATGTTCTATTTGACGTGCATGTTCTACAAGACGGTGAGAACATGTTCTATTTGACGTGCATGTTCTACAAGACGGTGAGAACATGTTCTATTTGACGTGCATGTTCTACAAGACGGTGAGAACATGTTCTATTTGACGTGCATGTTCTACAAGACGGTGAGAACATGTTCTATTTGACGTGCATGTTCTACAAGACGGTGAGAACATGTTCTATTTGACGTGCATGTTCCACAAGACGGTGAGAACATGTTATATTTGACGTGCATGTTCTCCAAGACGGTGAGAACATGTTCTATTTGACGTGCATGTTTTACAAGACGGTGAGAACATGTTCTATTTGACGTGCATGTTTTACAAGACGGTAAAAACATGTTCTATTTGACGTGCATGTTCTACAATACGGTAAAAACATGTTCTATTTGACGTGCATGCATGTTCTACAAGTTGAGAATATGATCTGAGAAACATGCATATTTTAGAAGTAGGTAGAACTTTTTCTATATGACGTACAATGTGTCATTACAACAATGGTTGGCCGCGAAATAAGTCTCGAGAATAAAAATAACACGAGTTATGATGCTGATATAATACTATACGATATACTAGATAATACTAGATCGTATTATATCGATATATGCCCATTTTATACTATCGTTAGCAATGTATAATCGAACGATACAGCAACATCATTTATAATACGTACACGAATATATACTAGTATTAATTCGCAATACCGCGGCTTTGATTTCTCAACATTTCAAACAGTCATTGCAAAAAAATTGCAATATGGTCCTAACTTCAGCAGGGATACAGTAACGGGGATACAGTAACGTTTTTTTCACAACCCTTACACTAACCTAACCAGGTTGGTGCGAAAAATCATGTCGCAGAATTAAGTTCACGTTATAACATGAACCTAATAACATAGACTAATTAGAAGCAATATATTACGACGTCATTTTGGTGGCACAACTAACATGCCGTCGCGGAATTTCATCAAAATCATCGCGCTATATTGACAAATTTGTGGATATATACCTGTATGGTATACCACTATCATTTTTAATATATTCTCATATGTTAAACCATTATCATATATGTAACATATGCTCAAATGATATACCACAATCATTTGTAATATATATTCTTATATGGGATGTCACTATAAATTTTAAAATATACTCTTCTGCTTTAGAAGACATACCTTATTAATCTTAGCACAGTTTTTCCTCCATTTTAGTTTAGATGCTGATTTTATATGGAGTGTCTTTTTTTCGCCGGTGCTTAGAAAAGTTGTTCCACAGTATTTTTTTGTGAATCATCAGGCTGTAATAATGTTTAATGTGCATTGTTATTACCCAACAATAAGTGGGAACGCGGGAATAACGTTGATATAAAAACGTTA